ATTATGAAAATCAAGTAAGAAATTTACATGTAACACAGTTAGATGGCTAAAAAAGCGCCATGGGTGTTTTGTTTTTACCCACATGAAAAGAGTAGAATGGTGGAGTGGCGTCTCTCTCTGACTAAACGGTCCAGCCCTGCCTTCTCTCTGGTCTTGAGAGCCAATCTTGATTTTTAGCAGTCATGTTCAGAAGATTTGAGAGAGGATAGCTGAAGACGATAGATAACAAGCATCGTGTGTGTGTGTGTGTGTGTGTGTGTTGTACACATTTTCTTGAGTATTTATTAGGGAAGGAAAATTCTTTTCACCTGTGTGGAAGAAGCCTGCAGGGTTTCCTTAGCCAGATCCAGGGTTCTTTCTACAGCAACTGTAGCTCATGCCACGTCGGGGCCAGCAGGGGGCATCTGCAACACAGATTTGGGTTACGTTGAGTTTTACCCTCTTGAAGGAAAGGTCTTTTGGAAATGAGTTTTGAAAACAAGGCTCGACACTTACCAAGCTGCTTGCAGGGTGCCTTTCTTTGTGCGTGTTCTTGAAATGTGTCTGCCTCTAGAATTAAACCTGCCTGTGATTGCCATCTGTGTCCCAAGCAGAGTACCCTTACAGCCTCTCTGTCTCTTTAACATGGTGTGATGTAGGCTTCTTATTATGTTCAGAATTCTCCTCATTAAAATATAGCTTATATACGTGATATGAATAACTGGATGTATGTACCACTTAAGCCCCGCCTACCACTTTTCATCTTGCTTTCCATTTTCTTCTCTTTCTTGTTTTTTATTCCAGGTGCTTGAAATCTACCTAGGCCCTTGCCCAAGCTAGGCAAGCACTCACCAATCTTCATTCCAGTCTCGGCTTCTCACTTCTCTGTCTCTGGTTACTTTAAAGTTAGAAACAGAACGCAGGCATTTTATGGTCTTTGCAGTCATCTGGTGGCTTTATATGTCTTCAGTCAAGTTAGGTGATTGCAATTTTAAGCAGTCATATTCAGAAGATCCCAGGGAGTTGGTAGGAGTAGTCAAAGATTGTACTAACAAACAGGTGTGTGTGTGTGTGTGTGTGTGTGTGCGTGCGCGCGCGCTCCTGTGAGTGCTTCTTCATTCTTTTGTCCCAGCAATATTTTCCAACGATGGGAAAAGGCCTACTGTGTAGGTTACCTGTGTACAGTGAGCCCTTTGGAGTTGTTCCAGATGCCACCAGAGCCAGAAACACCATCTTCATCCTTGAAACATCTAGAATCAGTGACTCTCTATGGGCTCTCAATCACGTTTTCTTGAATAGAGTTCTATTTCTAAAATTCAGCCCTGCTGCTGTTTGTCGTGAGTCTTGGTGCTGGCCTTGCACATTCACACATACATCTGAAGATCAAAACTTGCATTCAGTATGCACGCAGGCAGGAAGGACTAAGGTGGTCTGTGGCTTTTTGGGATTCCTATCCCCTGGCCAACATCCCACACAGGGAGCAGATTTACCATTGCAGGAGGCTACTACTATTCAGACTTTTGCAGCTTGAAAGGTGTGATTTATCTCCAGAATTATCTTTCTCTGATTAATCGCTCCACCAGGCATTTCCAATTGACTTTATTTCAAAACAAGTTTTCTTTTTCCTCATAACACAAGAGGTTAACAGACCCAAGAAGACACAAATCATTTTGTGTTAATCAGCATTAATGTAATTTAGCCAGGGAGAAATGCCTCATGTGCAGTCGAAGAAAACTGTGGACCACAGTTGATGCTGTAAACATGTTAGAACGTTCTCCAGATAGAGATGATTTTGAAATTACATTAATGTCAGATACGCTCAAGTTTATCTAGAAACAGGAAATGAACTTGGCGGGTTTGAGCTAATTTGAATTTCCCATTGATTTGCACTCTTCCCACACTGTGTGAGGCTCTGACAGGAAGGAAGGCAATCGAGGGAGAAACTGTTTTCTGGGAACTCTTGAGAGCATGTCGCAACTCCGTGGGTTGGGGGTTGGGTTTGGTTTGGTTTGGTTTAGTTTGGTTTGGTTTGGTTTGGTTTGGTTTGGTTTGGTTTTGGTTGGGGGGGGTTGTTTGCTTGCTTGCTTAGTTTTTGTTGAGATGCTAAGTATTCAGAATAGCTGGATCCTTACCACTGATTATTTTAAATGGTTACTGCTTGGTGATCGTGAATGCAATCTTACTCATCATTTTTTTCTGCATGATTACAAATGAATAAGTGGGTCAGTTGGACTTCCTGATGATTTTTCAACACCTTCTTCTTGAGTCTGCCTACTGGACCAGGAATGTGGCCTTGGTACCAGTGCTCCCCAAAGCTCTCTGTTCCCCTTTCTCTTGCATTCCCATACCAAAGAGGAAAAGAGTACCGAGTATTCTGGTGCAGGTATCAGCTCCAAGAAGAGAAACACACATGAATAAATCTCTCTCTCTCTCTCTCTCTCTCTCTCTCTCTCTCTCTCTCTCTCTGTGTGTGTGTGTGTGTGTGTGTGTGCGTGTGCATGCACACACACACACACACCCATGTGTTGAGGCCAGGAGGCAGATGACTCTCTTCTTACTGGATAGAGAAGGGTGCCTGGAAGAAGACAGACTTTGTATCTCTGACAGTAGTAGTGTTCCTTACTGGCCAGCAGAGGGTAGTCACAAGTGCTGTATACATTGCCCAATCAACTCCATGTATGTGTATATTCCCAGATAATATAATATGGACAGTCTTACTTCCAGAGTTAGAATGTTCGAGGAACCTTTTACGATTTAGAAAAGTAACCTATGTCATTTTCTGACCCTTTCACTTGGTGCTTATAGGTGGGAAATGTGGGCTAGAGCCGGTTGAAAACAAAAATTATGCAATTAAAGCTAGCACATTCGATCACCACAAAAGTCTGAGAACTTAACCATCTCACCAGACACAACTTTCAAGACAGAAACGCTTAGCATCAGATAATTTACGTAACTTGTAGGGCCTGGACTAAAGGGAGAGCATGTCAGTCACTGTGTGATATAAGCCGTCCCTTCCCTACCCCACAGCAGATCATTCCCAGCTCCTGTCACAACGCTTTGTTCACCTGAGCTCTGCTTGATGCTAGGAGCTCCAGAGCTGGGTTCACTCACCCAGAAGTTTCTAGAGTAAGAACCAAAGCAAAAAGAAGCAGAAATGAAAATATACCGCAGAGTTAACTATTTCTTAAGTCAGTTTCCACATCATATTTTGAGCAAATAGGACATTCAATATGGTAATTGGGTATTTGTGGCTTTTGTAAGGTACAAGACGGGGCTTTCTTAACTGTGACTCTAAGATTCAAAACTGTTAATGTTGGTTGTGTACGTCACTCTTTGCTATCTCTATGCATCAAATAGGAAAGTATGTTTGCAATATCAAAATCCTGTCTGGTTACAATGTGACCCCCCCCCATAGCTCTTTAAGACTTTGCTTATGATTGGCACTGACTTGGAGACAAATGTTAACAGATTGGTAAGAAATAAAATCGAGATAATTTTAGTTCACGTTGACAAACATTATTGAATAGTTGCTAGGTTGCCAAGCAACGGTACCAGGCACAGAGATTAAAAGGCATTTAAGACTCTACTCCTACCTTGAAAGGGTTTTTCTATATAGCTTAAAAAACAGGCACAAATCAATAGCCATAATGCAGTACGATAAGCCCTATCCTAAAAGTGCATGTGGAGGGCCACAAGGACAAAGGAAAAACAGTTTGGGGAATCCTAATACACAACTGATCTGTTACTATTTGAGATCAGGGTTTTAGGGCTGAAGAGATGGGGTTCAATCCCCAGAAACACAAGAAGCCTGTTGCTGTGGCTCACATCTGTAATTCTACCACTTCTATGGTGGAAACAGGAGAATTACATGGAATCTCTCAGAGCATTTCAGTTGGAGTATTCAGGGTAGCAGAAATGAAAGACCTTGCCCAAAAGAAGTAGGAGAGAATCAACTCTACAAGTTCTATGACCTTCACAGGTTTGCCTTGGCACATGTGAATACACACACATACACACATACAGAGAGAGAGAGAGAGAGAGAGAGAGAGAGAGAGAGAGAGAGAGAGAGAAAGAGATCTATCCACATACACGAGTGGATGGATGGATGATGGATAGAGATAGAGAGATGAATAGATAGATGACTGATAGATGCATAAATACATTGTCAGACAGACAGAAGAAAGATCGATGTTTATACAATTTCCACGGTCTGTTTTAAGTATAGAATCATGAAAATTTGCTGCAAGTTGGTTTGGTTTTAAAACTGAGTGAAAATCATTGTGTCCCATCCTATGATGGGAGACTATCCAGAACTCTGACCACATCTGCTCACTAACATGCTGGAGTTAAATGACTATTAAACCTCTAGTCCATCCACTGGAAGTGAATCTCCTCTAGGAAGACTGCTGCAAGTAGGCAACTTAAGCAGGTATAGTGGGGCAGAGAAAAGATTTTTAAAACAAGCAAAAACACTGTAATGTTATGATTGCACTTGGCTCTCAAAGACATCAAGTTTTATTCTATCATTTTACAGAAAGGGGGCATAGATCTGGCAGTAAAATTAAAACCAAAATTGCTCGAATGTAATGCATCTAGTTGGTGGTCAGAGCCAGAGCCCTCAGGAAACTGAGAGACAGTTCAGTTAGTAATTACACTTGGGGATTCTCCAGACAGACTGCTTGGGCTTGATCACATACTCACTGGGCTGTATTAAGATATTTAAACTTTCCCCTTCTGCAAAATGGGAACAAGACTGTATTACCTGCCATATAGAAATTAGAAAATATGAATAGAACAATGAAGATTGAACTGAGATAATGCAAATAATTGGTGTCTTCTAAACATTACTGATCGGAACCCACGTGTTCTGTTTTCTGTCTTTATGTTCTTTTTGCTGTAATAGAAATGAAAGAAGCCAAAGAGGTCCTTTGCATTTTTCTTTCTCTGATGCAGAAAGAAATCACTGTTTGAGATTTGTGTGCCCATGTGTCATTCTTGTCCCCTGACATCTATCCTTTCAGGGCCAAGGAGATCAAGATTAAGTTGGGAATTCTCCTCCAGAAGCCAGACTCTGCTGTTGACCTTGTCATTCCGTATAATGAGAAGCCGGAGAAGCCTGCCAAGGCACACAAGTGAGTCCTGAATATGGATTCCTCTCATGTTCCCCTCAGATGACAGCTAGTTTTCAAGTATCTGCTGCTGTCATTTATCTGTAGAACTATCCCTTTCTGTTATTCACTGAAGATCATCCGAGTCCTCAGAGAGTTGCTTCATAGTATATTTTTTAATACTTCCATGTCTAGATCATAACACTAAATAATTACAGAATTAAAAGAAATAGATAGAGCCTTGCCTCATCTTTGGAAAGGTGAACTGTACTTTATAAAATGGCACCAGCCACTCAGTTATTGACTGGAAGGTCAAAACATCTGATAATTTATTGGCTTGGGTCAAGTAACTCTGATCCAATTCATTATAAGCCCTGAATTCTCAGCATAAAGTAACAGCCAAGGTCCTTTCCTTGGGAGGGAAATTTGAGTAACTTCATGCTGATGGAAAGGCACACAATTTAGGACTCAATAGTTTCTTCTTGACTATACTAAGTTCCCTTCAAGGTCTGGTGGAAGACCCGAACTGCTACTTCCAAGAGGAATGAAGACTTGCCTTGCTGTTCCCACTTAATGCACACCAAGTGTTGCCTTCCCAACTCATAAGAAAAAATCATATTCCTGATTGTGGTTTTACAGTCCTCGGTGTCTCAGCTTCAGCTATGTATAACATACCCACCCCGACCCACCAGTGAAAGCCTGACAGGAAAGTATGATTCCAAAGAGTCAAGAGGCTGTGCCCATGAATCCACCTACTTTAAGTCTGTAATACCTTCCATACCATCATCACGGCCCGTCATCTTCAATTAGCTCCCTTACTGTCTAGACAGATTAACTGAATCCTCTCTTTATAGCAGAGGTATCTGTAGAAATGAAGAAGAGAAGCTGGACTGTCCAAAGGATGCTAACTCCTTCATTCTTCTTTCTAAAAGCTTCAAGATCACAGATGGTGTGGGAAAAGTACATTTTTAACTTTCATGTCTCTTTTTAAATCTAATATTTGTAGAAATTGGCCATCCTATCCTTTGTCCAAATGGCCTTCAACTTAATATAGTTGATTGGCTGGGGGATACAGAACTGGGTTATTCTGTTTCAAAGTCATTTTCCATCATCCTAAGTGGATATTTCCATTTTCTTCCTTTTATTACTTCAAAGTGTTCACAAACCGGAAGTGAGGCATAATTGAATTTTCTACCTTTAAAAAGGAGACGCTAATTCAATGTGGAGCAGCAGGCTGCCTGGACTAGTAGAGAGCAAGAACCACATCATAGCCAGCAGGTCAAAAGGTCTATTTTGAAGCAAACAATGTGGTAATTATTGATCCATTGGGATTACCATTTTCAGACCTAGCTCTCTGTTTCTTACCTTGATTGTCTATTCTCAAATGCCACCCAGACACTTGAACCACTCGGCTCTGAGGGAATCAAGAGAGAAATTGATGGAGAAAAGCTGAGGCTAAAATTTATTGGCTTATTTACTCTAATTGTATTTCCTTCCTTCCCTTTCTTCTATCAAAAATATTATTTGTTTCTGGGAAAGACAACACTGCACCCCCACCCCATCCCCAGGGGATGCTTGTAGGTGACAGCTGTTTTCAACAGTGAAACTGAAGAAGTGTTCCTTGTTAACATAAGTGCCCTGTTCTACCTCTTTACCTCTTCCCTTTGGGTGGATTTCTGTGCTTTTAGCCTTCAGGGTGTGACCTTGCTCTGCATGACCTCAGCCAAACTCATTTCTTCATTTCCACATTTCTCTGTGTGTGTGGTTTTTTTTAAAAACCCATATCTTCTGAGGAAAAAATAAACCTCTTGATGGAAGGTATGTATTTTTAGCTTCTCTCATCTTCTTTGGGCAGTTGCTTTGAAGAAGTACTTTCTATTTTTTAATATATTTTAAATTCTCATCTGATTAAAAACTTGAGCCCCTGGGGGCAAAAACAGAAATAAGCTAATTTTCTTATACCCACTCTCAACATCTCTTATCATTCTGGTATTACAAAATTGGCCCTGGCTCTTCTTCCATTAGGAGAACACAAGTATTATTATTCCATTTCAGAAAAAAAAAGTTCTTCATCATTTTGACCCTAACTCCTTTCTCTTTGTTTCCATTGGCTTGCCTGCAGACTTTCTCTTCCTCCAAAAGGCCTACATCCTTGAAGGTATTGTTTTCAAGACTGTCTGTCTGACTTGTGTGACCTGTTGTTATCTTACCTTCCTCTTTCTCAGAACTCTTTTTTTTAAACTCATGGTTTAAAAAGTGATCTCCCTCTCCCTGTCCTACTCTGCCCAGCCCCTGCATTCTCACAGGCTCTGCTGTAGGTCCTCAGAATGAATAATACCAAAAATGTAAGCCACATACATCAAGTTTGTAATAACATTATGGTTTGTAATACACACTGGCTTACAAAATGTCAGGGGCAGATTCTCTTTCAGTAGATTTTTTTTTTTTAATTCTAAATGTCCCTCCTTGACATCTGTTACCAATTTGTAACTGAATGTATTATTGATCTCATTGTGTTTGCCATTCTAAAGCTCAAGAATGTCCTCCACAAGTTACCAGTCAGGACCCCGGCTGATGACTAGTCACAGCAAGTCATCCTGTGTGTTTTTGCAGCTGGTTAACTTCAGAGTTAGCCTTGAAAGGAAATGTGTACAATTTTATGGACACAAAGAAGTGGCCTTTCAAAAGTCTGCTGTAGTGCCACTGGCCATGGGGCAAGGACTCAGTCAGGAGGCATGGACTTGAGTCTGCTTCTGCTCCACAGGACAGGAAGAATAAAGTGGGCTCTTGTGAATGACACTGATGAACTCAAGGATTGATTTCCTTGTCAAAAGCAAGAACATGGGGAAACATGATCAAGGATAGTTAAGTATTATAGAAGACACTGTAGATGACCAACCAAACCCAAACCAAAAGGAAACCAAACGTATAAACCCCAGCCATTGGTGCTCACCCAAGCTATAGTCTTCTCCAGTGCTACAGATAATATTGGCCAGTATTGCCAGTAGGGGTAGCAATGGCTCATTTGTTCATTCAAATCCAAGTATTGAATTATCTGTGGCTTTCAAACAAGGTTAACTCTGGGTAAACTAAGGAAGATTTTGTTTGCCTTTGAACTTGATACCTGTTTACTACAAGATGTCCTACAGAGTATACTCCCGCTCATGACCCCTTGAGTCCATTAACATGGATTGGGTTCTCATCCAATTGCCAACAGTGAAATATAAACTATAGTTGGGTACAGATAAAAAAATCTTATCATATTTGAATGTCCATAATTGAACATATATTTTTGGTCTTTGCCACCAACTTCATTCATTATTTCAAACTGATGGCTGTGCCCATAGGAAGGAATGGGAAAAGTTCTCCAGGAATAACATACAGTCCCTGCAGGGGTTGTCTGCACTATTACCATATGAAAGATCCTTCAAGTCAAGGGTATTTATCAGTGGAAAAAGCTCCCGTTTCCAAACTGACATGGTCACTTCCTCAATCAGGAGGCAGTTGCACTGGTCATTATAAAACACATAGTTAATGACTCCTAAAATGTTGATCTTGTCTCTTATCTGGGTTACCTTCCTCCCCATCCCTCATACCCACACAGGGAGAGGAGACTCTGCTTGCCCTCTGTGGTCAGCAGTGACCTTGCGGACCAGGATGCTCATTGGCTATTTAGATCTGCATCTATCTTGTTTCCAAAGAAGTCACACTTAATGAGGGCTGGCAAATTCTGAGAATCAGGACAGGATGAACCTGTTTCCTCCTAGACTGGTAATCAGAACACCGGGCTACAGGCCGTCGGGGGATGTGTCTTGTTCAACTACGTCCTTAAATCAATTTGGACTAATTCTGCCCCCAAGCAGACTCGGCACATGTCCCTTTCAGGAATTTAATCTTGGCCGTGATGTGCTGCTGATATTGACCATTACTTGGTTTTATAATGAGACCTTTTGGGACAAATTGCATCTGGTAACATGTTTAAGTCAGGGACACCTGCTCGTGGCATTGTTTCTTCCTGTGTGCCTTTATACTAGCCAAAGAGCAAGAGCAGAGAAAGCTATTTCATTGTATGAAAATACATATACAGTAAGGAGACTTGGAGCAGGAACCAGGCCTACCCTTTGCTCTGAGTTAGTTTCTTATTGTTTCATTGTATAACATGCTCTCAATTCTGAGAACATTTGGACTCAAAAGTGTTCTGCTATGTGTAAAGTACTGAACCCACTGTGAACATGTACATACAAAATAATATACACGTAGCAAAAGTGCTTAGTATGAAGTAACACTGAGTTATCCACCATATGAAAACATGCTGTTTTGTGGTCATTAATGAATGAATGAAAAAGACATGGGAACATACTTGCAAGCCATGTTCATGCCATCTCTCCTCTCTCTGTTCCTTTATTTTAACCAGGGAAAAGGGGAAGAGGGAATATAGTTCACTTGTGAGAAATTCATATGTTTTTGATCTGAGATTCATGTGTCCAGTTATGAAAACAGAACCCATCAAAGTTTATTTCACAAGATTTATTTTCCCTGCTTTTTGTTTAGTTTGGCTTTCAAAAAAAGAACACACAAATTTGGAAAAATATCAAATCAATTCAGGACTTAACTGACACATGTCCTACAAAGAGAGTTTAGGAGGTGATCACAACACTTGAGTTAAAAGACCATCTTGGATTCCTTACAGAGATACAGTGAGAGTGCATATGCCTGACAAATAAGATACGGACTGAAAATTGTTTCAGTAACACTAGTTGCCGCTGTCAATGATTTAAATGCCCAAAGATATGATTTTATAAAAACTAAAAACAAGAGTATTTCTGAGTTGTCTGGAACAGTTACTAAACAACCTACAACCTTGGGAAAAACACTGCATCATTTTACTCTCACAGTAAATGTCTTGCCCGTCTGCTTTAATTGGATGATAAAGACCAAATGTGATGATTCAAGGATTCAGGTGCTGTGAACCCAGGAAGGTACATGCTGATGCTGATGAGAGAGGAGAGTTGATGGTGGTGACAAAGTGCAGCTGTGGGACTTCTGTGGATGCAGACGCTAAATGGAAAAGTAGTCTATTATTAATTATTATTATTATTATTATTATATCTTGGCTATTAACCTTCTTTGAAGTCAACATTTATGTTCAACATTCTGACTCAAGAGATGCTAAAGACTTTTTTCTTGAGAAAAAAATAACTGATATAAATAAATAAATAAATAAATAAATAAATAAATAAATAAATGTAGATTTTTATTTTTCTGTCATACTTCCAGTTTGGGATAAAATCAAGCTGACTGTCTTCTATCGTCCTTAGTGAGATAACTGTGACATTGGGGTTTCCACCAAATAACATTTGCTGACTATGTTGATGACTAATGTGTGGCATTGTGAAACACAGAACATTACCCTCTGTGAAGGGACAATTGGATTTCTTTAACCTATATTGGGTAAAGATAAACTTCAGATTCACTTCTGTAGAATATATAAGACTATTGGACACAGCCTCAGGACAAATAGACTCTACTTGTAAAAGTGACCTGTTTAGTCAGATTGTTTAGAAACCAACAAAAACTCATACAGCTATCAGGTAGCAAACCAGCTGATCACACATAACCATGAGAAAATAATCCATCTGTCCCTATCCTGAGGACCAATCACCAGCTGTGTCACCACCTAAGAAAACCAAAGTCAAGTCATTGTCATGCGCGTGGTTAACTTCCTTCTTATGCTGTCACCTTTCTTTGTCCTTATCCTTGGTTTAGGCCCTCACTGGAGGAGGTCCTGCAGTGGCGCCAATCCCTGGACAAGCTTCTCCAGAGCAGCTGTAAGTTCACATGGTTCTCAGGAGGGTAAGACTAGGGACAGACACAAAACATCTTTGTTCTGCTCATATCCTTCTCCAGTTTGTGCTCTGAACAAGTGGAGAGCAGTTTGGGAGTGCAATTGTACAGTTGCCTGAAAGGGGAAGTCACCGTGGGAGAATGTGAGAACAGATATTTGAGTCTATGTTCATGCTTGTCCTCGTCTGTTTGTATAAGCCACATCATTTGCCTTTTTGGTTCAGACAGGGTATCATGAGGTCCAGGCTGGCCCTCAAACTCACAATGTATCTGAGGATGGCTTTGAACTCCTGATCTTCCTGCCTCCACCTCCCAAGTGCTGGGACCGCAAGTGGGCATCACCCTCTCTGTTTCTGTATGCTTCTTCATGTTCTCATGCGTGAGCCAGATAAACTGCCCTTCCTGCTTTGCTTCGTAGATTGAGAAAGACTAGATTTTGTGTTGAAAATGTTTTTGAACAAGCCACAGGCATCATAGCTCAACCTGTTATCAGCTGCTCTTTTGACCTTATAAGATTGCTATCTCCACTCCTTGACTGACCCTTTCCACACTCAGCTATGTAGAATAAGGATATTTGTGTTCATTTATTGATTTATTGTCTTATTTCAGTAATTGTTGGGCCAGTAGCATTTGGGATAGGGCTGATAAGTTATGAATGTCAAGTAGCCTACATAGGAGTATTCACTGCTGTTATAAAGAAACTTAAGAGTTAGCGGAACTATGTTTCCAGAATTCTTAAGGAGAAAAATAAGCATCCAATGTGTTTGTATGTAAATTCTTTTCACTCACACTAATTTTGAGGCCCACACACTCAGATATTTTAAGTGAATTATCAGAATAAGAAGGCTAAGGGAGAGAGCTAAGCCACAAGTATGTAATGTTAACACCTTAACATTGTCGAGGGGCCACTGTCTTTCCATCTGCAAGGTCTGAGGATTTCACTGTAATGTTTTCTACTTTTCAGAGGAGAAATTATGCTTGTATCTATGAGCATTTGCTCATATACATGAATAATTTCCTCAAAGCAATAAATGGAAAAGCATTCAATAGCTGTTTTAGCCAACCATGTCCTTAAACATGATATCTCTTCATTCCAACTAGCTCCATCAAGAAAAGGGCTTAAGGTGTGTGTATGAAAGATCCAACCAAAACAACGAAGCTGTGGGTTGTAACGAGGGTGAAGCTATAAGAAACACTGTTATTACTGTCTGTCTCTCTCTTCTCCATTATATTTCTATTACTGTCTCTCCTCTCTCATTCTCACACTAGCCTGTCCCTGCTCTTTTTATCTCCAGTCATTTCTAAGGTGGAAACATAGGGAGGACAGGTATGCCCAAAAAGTCCTATGCCAGCATCCAGACACATCAGTATCACCAGCCTGGAGAAGCAGAGTGTGACCTGTTACCTGATTGTCAGCCATTATGCATCATGGATAAATGTAAATCAAGCTATGGCTATTCAGTATCTCTTAAGAAGTATCCCATTTTGGATCTGTTGAAACTAATAATCTACAATCAGAAATATCTAATAGCTTGATACAAAACAAGTAAGAAAAGCAGGAACTTTAAAAAGGCACACTATTCAAAGCATAATGACCTCTTTCTGCGTGCTTGACTTGAGAAAGTTAAGCCATCTAAAATGGAGCACGATGGCTCATATTTGAAATTCAAGTGTGTAAGAGGTGGAAACAAAATAATTACTGTGAGTTTAAGGCTAACATGGACCATATGGTGAGTTCTGGACCTATCTGAACTGATGAATGACATGTCTAAAAAAAAAAACCAGCACCCCCTGAATTCCTGGAGGGGTAGGGGTAGCATTTTTCTGATTCACAGGGAACATTTGGAATTCCTCCTGTTAACATAAGCTATTGCCTCTGAGTTGATATAGTTAAGAAAGTATTTATTTAATCAAATTTTCTGTAGTAGAACTAAACCCTATACAAGCTGCTGTTCAATCTTTTCTCATTAGCAAGGATCTACTCACTCAAAATCATTTTTAAAATTATGTTATTAGTAATGCATGCAGTGTGTGTGTGTGTGTGTGTGTGTGTGTGTGTGTGTATGCACATGTGTGGGGAGATCAGAGGGCAACTTTCAGGAGTTGGTTCTCTCTTCTCACTGAGGGTTCTAGAACAGAACTCGGGGCATCAGGTTGCTCAGCAAATGCCTTTACCACCTCTGCCATCTCACTGGCACTAAAAATGATTTTTTAATCATTTGGGGGGTCTTTGACTTTGTTCTTAAAATACATCAGATTCTTACAAGTTTCGCCTTCAGTTCTGAAACAGGAGCCATCTGTTTTCACTTGTTAGGTCTATAGGGCACATAGCAAGTATGTTGATCTTTAAAACCAAAATAGACTGCACATGGGGGCTTGCATAATTCCATCCCAGCATCACCAGGGACATGGATTCTCCCACATGAGCATTTTTAAGAGCAAACAGGGACACAGCCTAGTCTGAGGCAGCACAGTCTTTATTTGGGTTCTCTTCTCCCAAGAGTTGCAAAAGGTCAGAGCATTTCCTCAGACACCCCCGTGGGCTGGACTGTCTCTTGAGACATGAAGCAGCAGCTGGTTCCAGGCTCATCTTTTAGTTTCCATCTTCACAGTTGCCTTTGGCATCTCTTCCTTTGCTTTGCAGTTTTCCTCCTTCTGTGTCATGGGTCCATACTCTTATCATCTCACTGATGGCAACCATGATTTTCAGCTATGACAATGATCATAAAATGTGTGATATAAAAGAGGTACACTTCATTCATATATTCCATATGTTATTCTAAGCAATTTGCATATATTGGTTTATTTAGTGATTGCAGTAATGTCGTGACTTAGGTGCAACAAGCACCTCTAGTTTTCAGAAAAAGAATCCATTTTTTAGAGAGAAAGGTAGCTTGCCTATGGCACAAAATACAACAGTAACAAAATTGAGGTATTTTCTTGTCTTTAAAGTTCTTGTTCTGCTGGATGTGCACACCTTTAATCCCAGTTCTCAGGAGGCAGAGGCAGGCATCTCTGAGTTCAAGGCCAGCCTTATCTAGAGAGAGATTTCCAGGACAGTTAGAGCTACACAGAGAAGCCCTCTCTTAAAAACGTAAGTTCTTTGGTCCTGGGGGTTGGAGGGATTTCCTAGTCCACTGAGATCCCACTATTAAGAAATAGATGCATATGTTTGAGGAAGGAGATAGGAACAGGGAAGTCACGTGGAAAAGATGGCCGAACAAATAGATTGTCCCAGTGCAAGGGCAGAGGAGGGTGGTGGTGGTAGGAGAAAGCACTGTCTTTCTCTATTAACAAAAACCCTCAAGAGTGAGTAGGTGGCAGTGGGGGGAAGATGTCACAGATGAGGTAACATTTGTGTTGGGCTTGTAATTATGACAGTAATTTTTAATTTGTTATAAATAATGATGAAAATCAGTATGTAACTGAACTTCATGAAAATTATGTGTGGCCCCATAAAAGAGCCATGCCTGTGAATTATTTAGTCTTCACCACAGCCCTGTCATATAGGTTTCATTACTACTTTCCTTTGACAAGCCACAGAGGCTTCAATAGGCTAAATAGCTTGTCTGTGTTATTTTATAATAAGGTGTGCCAGAAATCACCCCTGGGCAATCTTGGGTCTAAAGCTGGAGCTGAGTTTTGAACCAATAAGCCATGTCATGGTTCTTATAAATTGCCAATGTCATTTCTGTCTCCCCCTCCCCCACCCTGTCGCCAATGAAGCATTTGCACTAATCTCATTTTCAATACTTTATGACAATCTGACTTGGATTCTTGGATTTGTTTAATGCTCCTTTTATCCTCAGAGTGGTTTACAGATGGTTTCGCCCAACCCTCCCCACGCTCCGTACAAGGACATTGCTCTGATTTGCCTAATGTCAAAAATTGTTATCACTCATTAGGGCCAGCTCAGAGATTACAATGTATGGGTGCCCTATGACGTATGGGTACCATACTCACAGAATGCTTATGGCAGCCCAGTCATCAGATGAGCTTCATCAGAGTCCTGCATAGTGAATGGTATCTGGGTGTGCTGAGGAGTATTTTGAGGCTCTGTGCTGGCTCATACAGGCCCCATAATTCTTTCTTGGGGTTATGGGTTGGAGTTTTGTAGTATGAAGTCCCTAGATAAAAACAGTGGTTTATGAAAGATATGTATATATAACCTTGTAGAATAGAGATATTTGGCCTGAAGTCTTTTCGACTATGATTCCAAAAAACTAACTAACTAACTAACTAACTAACTAACCAACCATACACACAGTAAAAGTCTCTGAGGAAATGACCAATAGAAAACCAGAGTCTATGGAGTAGAAAGCTGACTGGAAGTGACTGTGTAGGACTCTACTAAGAGAGACCCCATAGAGAATGCTCAGGATCCAGATGTAAGAAAGAGTAGCTTTAAATAACTCCCAGGCCAGTAGGGCATAAAACTATTTGTATGTTTTGGTTTAAAGTGCATACATTGATTTTAAAAAACAAACAAACATACAAAACAACAACAACAACAAAAAACCAAAAAAGCCCTGAAATAGTATTGTGGAATTCACCAGAGAGATAAAAACCAGTATTCAGGACATGGGTCTTTCCAATGGAAAGCTGTTTCATAATTGAGGTGAACACTCAGGTCACTGAAGAATCCTGACAAGGGTCCTCAGGTCTGAAACATCAATGTTTATGAAGACTGATCTTTATCCCAAAATTTTACAAAGAAATGGAATAGGCAACTCAGAATATCTGATAATAGGTGGGTTGAGGGGCTGTGAGGCTGAGGGGCTGCGGGGCTCTGGAGCTCAGGGACTGTGGGGCTGTGAGGCTGAGGGGCTGTGGGACTGAGGGGCTGTGGGGCTGTCTGAGGAACTGGGGAGCTTAGGGACTGTGGGGCTGTGGAGCTGAGGGGCTCTGGGGTTGAGTGTTTGGGGCTGAGAGTTTGCTTCACACATATTCTATGGAATTACTTTCTCCTCTGAAGTCTGAGCTCTGGTCATATGGATGCCTATAAGACCGTGTTTCCTGGCAACTAAAAAGTGACTTGAGAGTTTTTCTACTTCAATAGAGGCATCCGACATATTTGTTCAAGCAACAGTGAAATAGCCAGGACAAGGATAAAGGTGGGTCTTATTTCTTTCAACATGTATGTGGACCAGTTATCATTTAAAAATGTCGAGTAATACAGAAGAAATTACAGTGGGGATAGGAAGAAGAAACATGTCTGAATCTATCAAAGGGTTTCAAAGTAATTCAAGTAGCCAGCCAGGTTCCTAGAGAAAATGGCTTTTAAGCAAGCTCATGTCCCGGATATTTCTACTATTGATCCATGATAGTGTCCTAGAAGTGCAGAGGAAAGATTAAATTGCTTGAGTCTTGGAATCAATACTGAACCTAACCCCAGTTAATTTCCAACCTGACCATTCTTTTTTTTAAAGAATTGAGTGTGGCAGTTAGAAATAAGATGAACAGGAGGAATAAAAATGTATCGGGAAGATAGCTCAGTGGTTAAGTGCTACCTCATAATGTAAGTAAAAGGACCAGAGTCTGAATATGCAGAATCCATGTAAGCCAAGTGGGAGTGTTGACCCATCTGTAATTCTATGCGCCTCAGGATGGAGACAGGAAAACTCCAAAACAAGCTAGTTAGTGAGATGAGCTACCTTATCCGCAAGCCCTGCATCTGACTGAGGCTTCATATCACAAAGAATAAGGTGGAAGAGCAATGAAGATTCCAGACATCAACCTTGGGCCTCCACATATATGCACATGCATGTATATCAGTATCCAAGAACAACATGTATACCCACACACATGATAATACACATATACACATGCACACATACCACACGCACACACACACACACACATACATATCATAAAATAGATCTTTGTCTCTGGTTTTATCATCACATATATTTTGTGCAATTCATAAAATAATCAATGGCCAATACATAAAAACATACAGTCTACAAACAAGATGGAAACAAATGTTCAAGGAAAAGAGAAATGGATTGAAATTGGGTCAAAAAATGAATCTAGAATGTGAATATGTTACCCAAACAGAAGTAATTAATTGTAGACAGGTCCTAGGAGAGGCAAGCAAAGGGAAGCCTGTTCCCTAAAGTTGATGGCAGTCATTTCTGTCTGTCTCAGGAGACAAGTGGCTCACTAGGCCATGCTGCCAAGATTGTGACTTTGACATAGGCTGTGGAAGCTAGAATGTTTCCTCTCCTTTAGAAACCTCCATTTTCCTTTGTAATAGCATGATTCTATTCTTACAGATACAGATGTTAGGATTTGGTGTGAACAGTTTTATGTATATGTGTGTATACACACACACACACATTCTTTAATAAGAGAAGGAAAACAGCATAAGTTTAGATGTTTTAGATCTCCAATACCTTGTTAAATTCTTTGTGCACTCTCTCAACCTATCGTTTGGAAGGTCTAGAAGGACAAGAAAGAAAGAGGAAAGGATAAGCCCCAGGAATTATCATAGGTACACAGGTAGCATGTATGTCTGTATATGGACTCATGGTTGCCATATTACATTCATTTTATTGTAAACACAGATGTAAAATTAATTGATGGACATAATAACTCTGGGTATGTGACAACTTCACCTGGTCCCTTCATTCAGACATCAGTTTGAATATTCCTATGTTGTCTTTTTCGCCTTCCTTGCTAACTGAAGTCAGACTCCTGCTACGACTCCCTTGCTGCTCTTCAAAGGTTTCCCTTCATCATATAGATGTGTAGTGAGTCTCCTCTTTGATTGTTATTTTTCATTCTACTTCGCTTGAAATCTCTAAACACTGTCAGGGAACCAAGCTTATTTCCTTTATCACAGTGACTTACTCAAAACTCAACTGTAAGAACAGAAATGAGATAATAGTTTCTGGCAGTCATTACAAATATTACTTATTTTGACAAACCAAGTTTTAATTATTTTCTGTGGGGCTAGGAGCATAGCTTTGCGGCAGAGTGCTTGGGTTAGCATGCATGAGGCTCTTACTTCAATTTTCACCACTAAAAAGAAAAGTTTTCTTTGGAATTGGCATGTGTCCTGCATGTCATCAGCACTGATGTGAATCCTCAGTTATACACATTTGTCACCCGAATGAACACTGCATTCCCTTGTGTGACAGACTATGAAGTGAAGCCTTCTCTTCAGTGTCAGAGTTCATGGTGGGCAGAGCTGTTCTCTGCCACCTCTGGTTCTGTCCCAGATTGCCTGCATCTGAACAAAGGGATGTTTTAGATCTGTCAATGGGACATCGTTATGGAGGCTTTCCCCATCATCTCTAGCATCTTTGTTCTAGCCTTCTGTTTTCCTCTCAGTTCAAGTACAGGAGAGAGTACACAGCTCCTAATGGACGTTTCCTGTTCCAAGAAACAGAATCACACGTCTCTTGAAAAGTATCTGAGGATAATAGACAAATGTGTGAGACTGCACAATCTGATGGCCTGGTTCTGAGTCCTGGCTCTGTACTTACTCTCTGGGCATTTGGGAACAATCTCTTAACTTCTGTGACCTCATTTACAAAATAGGTCACTCATAGTACCTGTTCTTTGGGTGTATACTGAGAATTAAATGAGTTTCTATTCATAAGATTTTTATATCAATGGCAGAATGTATTGGAAGTAAGATTGGGCTACTTGGCCAGATATAGATTCATTGTCAAATCAATTCCCTATTGACTTTTTACCCACTAGATGGATTTGCCAGCTTCAAAAGTTTCCTGAAGTCTGAATTCAGTGAGGAAAACCTTGAGTTCTGGGTTGCTTGTGAGAATTACAAGAAGATCAAGTCCCCTGTCAAAATGGCGGAGAAGGCAAAGCAAATTTATGAAGAATTCATCCAGACAGAGGCTCCTAAAGAGGTTGGTACTGGCGGGCAGGTGGCTGAGCACAGCTGTTTAAGAGTCAGATCATTACATTGCCAGGTATGGCTTCCTGGGCTGCAGGCATGACATTTGGAGTGAACGGCTACTCGTACTTGTGATTAGAGTGAATAGTAAGCACCTACTGAATGCAAAGGCAGTGTGATACCGTCAGGTGCTTAATTTCAATGCTGTACAGACAACTGTGCAGCCGACACCTACTGTAGTCTTACCTCAGTACCATGCAACCAACCTTAAACAGGAGGAAGGAGGCCAATATAAGATTTGGGATAAAACAAAGAGACTGGTTTCTCTCCTTCAAAAAGTAAGAATGACTGCAACTGTTTTGTAAAGTTGTGAGAATTGAATTAAACAGTAGATATGAAAACACACATGACTGTTTGAAATAATTGATGCCAGTGAGTCCCCTGTCATTTGCCTTTGACATTTGTCCTTTGTTGAGGCAACAGGACTCCCATTCCTGAAAACCAAAATAATCCACGTTAATAGTGCAAGATGTACTTAAAGCCAATATACCAGTAATTGACTGCTAAAGACCAGATATGTACAGATTTCAAGAAAGCTTTGAGGACGTTTGTCTGCCATCATCTCCGCTATCAATGAAACCAAACTGAAAAGCTTGTTGAAAAATTCCAGGATGGCCACACCCAGATCAGTCCATCTAGTTAGGATTTGTAATCCCTACATGGTTCTCTTGAATCCAGTGTGGACAACTAAATTGTCATCAAGGTTTGGAATCAAACACATAGGTGATTGAGGAAGCCATTTTCATAGTTGGTGATCTGTTATAGATGATTTGTAAGGGGAAAGATTCCTACCATCTCTCTTCTTTTGCATGTGTGATACTTCTTATAGATACAACCTCAGATATCTACTCCTTTGGTTATGTTGTATCCCTACCTGGTCCTCTTAAGAGAGGGATGTGGCTATAAGGATGTGGCTCAGCATAGAGTACTTGCTAGTATGCAGAAGGCCCTGGGTTCACTCCCAGGCCTAAATCTACCCCTCAGTAGATAAGGTGCTGGTTCATGCCTGTATTTGTCATGTCATTAGAACTACTGATTCCTCGTTTGTTGTCAGGAAACAACAGTTCTAAAGCTCTGAAAAAGGTCCTGGGTCCCTGGCCACAAATTATTTGTTCTGTGTCACTGTCATAGAAAGCAGGAAACTTAATGGAATAGAAACATGAAATCAAGCATCAATTCATCTGCATTCAAATCTGTTTCTCCAGATTTGAAAACACTTAACAAAGAGATGATCTCAAGACACTTAACCTTGTGTGTGTGTGTGTGTGTGTGTGTGTGTGTGTGTGTGGTTTGTGTGTGTGTGTGTGTATGTGTGTGTATATGTATATGTATATGTATATGTATATGTATATGTATATGTATATGTATATGTATATGTATATTCTTAGGTTGCTGAAGGATGAAATAGCATATGTATAGATTGGATACTGGTGAAGGACACCTGGTAGGCATCCAATAGCAGTTGGATCTGAATCTGAATCACATGTTCATGCCAGTATCAGTTCTTCTGAAACAGCAGTGGCATTTCTTACTTTTCGTGGCATCCTCCTATCTCTCATTTTGCTGGTGAGAACTCTGCCCCTCTGGTACACTCCAATCCTGAAGCCTGGACTGATGCAGGGACCCTGTTTCCTGGCCCACAGGTGAACATCGACCACTTCACTAAAGACATCACCATGAAGAACCTGGTGGAACCTTCCCCTCGCAGCTTTGACCTGGCCCAGAAAAGGATCTATGCCCTGATGGAGAAGGATTCTCTGCCCCGCTTTGTGCGCTCTGAGTTTTATATGGAGTTAATCAAGTAGTCATCTGGTCAGGCTTCAAAAGTTGCCCTGTGAGTTGAGTTACATCCTCTGTTGCAACACAGCATCCCCCAGACACCTGCACGTTTCTCCATAGCAGCTTTGCTCCAGGATACCCAAACATAGGCAAACCACAGGCTGTGTTGCTAACTCTTTCACTCATGTTGGTTTGGTTATGTAGGTCTGTTGTCTAAGTGCCTTCACTTTCTCTTGTTCTTTCTGACTGCTTTGTAATAAAGGTTTACCAAGTTACTGCCAGTCTAAGTCACAGAAATATCCTGTTCAACATAAAGCTGCCTGTGAAAAGAATAGGTGATATAGATTGCTCTTTAAACTAGGCAGAAAAGAAAAGCAGATGCAAGCATCCCCTTTCATTGGGGGTTTGACTGGTCTTGTTTATTGTTTTAATTCTTATCCTCTAATGACTTAAGAATTTGGTTAGTAAAAAGCAGCAAGCTGGTTATAAGGCAGCCACCATTAGGGTTTTTTTTAAGCAAGTACATTGTTTAACATTACTGACCTCTACTTTCTAGAGTATCGCTGTGTTAGCTAGACATTCTCAATAAGAGATACAACGAATATATTGTGCTTCTAAACAGAATATATTTCAATTCCGCCCTTATGCCTCCAAATCACTAGGGAAAACGTCAGCCTTTGACTCTCTAGAACAATTAGAAATGCTAAATACCCCAAAAATCTCTTTGAACTATTTCTTAAACAATGGAAAATAAGTTAAAATTGAAATATTTTATTCACAGTATTTGGGATATCTGAATGTCTGAAAATACCCAACGAATGAGCCAGCTGTTACACACTCACCCAGATGGCTCCAGTTATGGAGACCTCAATTGACTATGCTTACAAACTGACTGTGTGATTGGCTAGTCTTGTCAGTGGAGGGTGAGGAGAGAGGGAAGGACACCTCAAGGGCAGTGCCATGAGGCCACAAAAGAACACAGAAAGGTATGCTTCTGCAGCTGAATGGCTACATTATATATCCAGACATTTACTATATCTCTATATAATTTTAAACTTAAAGCAATATATACACATATATATATTCTTCTAACATATAAGACAGCCAGTGGGAGGTAAGTAATCTAGCTCCAAAGGAGAAGCCAAATGTATTAAAATTGGACTAGAAACTTTTTTGAGGAAAAATAAAAACAACAAACCTCTATGTTAGTCGTAGTTTCTATGGTAACAAGAAGAAAATACATTCTTTTAGATCCGAGAAATGAGAAAAAGTGGGATGACCTTTCCAGGAAAAGAATATGTAGTGTTTGTTTAGCATTCCTTCCCCATCCTTTCCCTGCTCACCAGTTTCCCTTGAGTAAATTGCCTGAGAAAGTATGAAGCTTACTTAGTGTGTGAACCCGGGGCTGCTTGTATCTCCCTCTTCCAGGAGAGCCAGGCTAGGCTGAAAGTGGGTCTAGGATGTAGGAAAGGGTTGGGTCTAAATTATGGTCAATGGACAGGAGTATTTGCTTCTTGTTCTTGAAGGAGGCCTGTGATTCACCGAGGAACTGGCCCATAATCTGGGCTACTGTCTGAGGCTAATATAGTTCTGGGATGAGGGTCAGATTAACCTTTAAATCAAATCAGCAGATATAGAGACCATCTGTCTCAGGAGTCTATGTCCCATGTGTGTCCGTTAGAGCAGGGTTGTTCATGTAAACAGACACACAGACACATACACGAACACACACATACAAACACACAGACACACACAAATACACAGAGACATACTGAGACACACAAACACACAGACACACACTTTCTCCTACATAGAGGACACATTTCCAAAGGCAGAACCATATGCATGGAATTATTTTACTCTATTTGCTCATATTCCATACACCACCATACTCTATTATATACACTGAACTTTCAGCCCATTTTCATTTTAAATGCATGAGATGAATTAATTAAAAGGTTTTTCTTTTATCCCATTTAATAACATAGACTTCACCTGACTGATGCCTCCTCTGTATAAAATCCATTTCAATGAGAAGGATTCAATTATTTCCTGAAGAGCAGTAGGCATCCATTAACAAATCAATTGATAAGCTAATAAGCACTCCCTTCTAGGGATTTACCAAATTATGCCATCATACAAGAGATGGTTTGAGAATTATTTAAGCAGCCAGTTAATTTGGAGGAATGACTTTCACTCCTGAAACTGGATCCTCTAGCAGGCATTTCCTTCACTTCCTGGGGATTTAGCAGATTTGGAAGATAATTGGACACAGGAGAAGGGTAATAAAGCAGAAAGGGGAAATAGCAAAGAAGTAAGCTCTCAGGCCTAGGAAAATTAGCCCACTGGCTAGAAAACACAGAGGAACAGCCCAGCCTGATGGATGATCAAACAGCATCTTGCTGTCATCCTGGATTACAGAAGGCATTTCAGGGCTCATCATGAGGCAAGACAAGGAAGTTCATCTTAAGATCCTATAGGAAATTAACTAGAGAAAAGGGCAACTGTGGAGGGCTTCTTTTCCATTAGACTTGTGTGTACTGGAAAGTAAAGAGTGGAGGGTTCAGTTTGGAGCACCCAAGCATCCAAACCCCAGGGCTAGCGAACTCTAGGCAGGTTTGGCCTGTAAGTCTTGGTGTGTAGACTCTCCAGAGTTGAGTCTCCATTCCACATGCATTCCAGCATCCGTTTAACATTCTCAGCACAAGGCCAACAATTTCAAAGCTACTTCCGGTGTTAAACACACTTCCCATTAAATAAGTCCTGTGGCTAATGAAAGCAATTGATAACCAAAGAAAAAGCTTTCGCTAGCCTCAATACGTCATCCTGGAACTGAAAAGTGTCTGCTGTCCCCACTGAGGAGACATCAGGGACTCTAAATGGAAGCTTATTGTAGAGTATGATGAAGACAACCCACAGTCAGGAGCTTTGGAGTTTTATCCTCAATTCACTGCTTAATAATAAACATACGTATCAAGTAGAGAAGCTATGTAGCCATCTTGCTCATATGCAGTTTAATACGTTCCCTCATTTGATACGCTTCTTCCCTCCCCCCTCACTTTCTCTCTCCTTCTCTCTCTCTGAAACACCATGGCTCACAGTACTTAGGTAATAGTGAGTATGTTTAAGAGCACATAAGTCCCTACCTAGGCAGAGGTACAGGCAAAAGCATAGACAAAATAAAGAGAAATGCTGAGCACTATGTCATAGGAGACGGGGAATCTGGATAATGCTTCCCAAACATTCCAAGACAAGAAGTCATCGTGATGTGAGGGAACTGTAGTTCTGGTTTTGTTTTTAATTCTGTAACTTGGGAGGTTATTCTTTTGGGGAGTAGAATGGAACAGGATGAGGGGTTTATGAAGTCCTGTGCCAGCACTTCTCTCATAAGTATTAAATCCTGAACCAATAGTGTTGGTTTCCTGATTATTGTATCCAGTACTTTGTGTAGTATGTAACTCACTCTTACTGATAATAAAATAAACATTAGCCTATAACTGAAATCACATTTTATGTTAAATATGTACCTATGTAATGGTCTCATGAGTTCTTCTTGACTTCTAAATGTTCTTTCAGGAAGTATTTTTTTTTTCATAGAAAAGGATCATCCCCCCACCACAACCCACCCCAGCCCAACCCCACACACGGTGTTTACAATATGTGAAGCTTTGATCTGTGGAAGGGTTTCCCACCAAGATTCAGTCCCAACAGAGTCTGCTAAAACAAGACTCAGAACGTATGAATCAGCTAGTGACTATTTCTCCTTGGATAGAGGTGGGAAGCAATCACCTGCTGGCCTAGTTGCTGTCACAGAAATAGGTTGAGTAGTGGAACAATATAATTTGAATCCTGTGATATTCAATGTACATATTAATTCTCTTCTTTCCTCATATTGGAAAAAAAACATAAGTCTCAGTGCTACTGAGAACAGTTCGAATCCCATGATTTTAAATTTGATGCTAAGATAATTTAGGTGAGGCATTAAGGTCACAGGGAGTGGGTTTGGGACTGAAGGGCAGAGCCTGTGTAAAAAATGGAAAAGAAAGAGAAAGCAAATAAATAAAATCAGATTGACCAAGGAGAATCAAAAATGAGAATTTTGGAAAGACAAAGAGGGAGAGAGACCGAAAAAGCAATTAAAGTGAGTTGTCATTCCCAGTTCCCATAAGACCCATCTGTATTTACTATAGATAAAATGCCCCAAATCATTTTAATACTATCTATTCTTCTCCTAATTTTAATCATCTTGGATGAGTTTCTGAGAGTTTCTGACAAAAAGTATTTTTAACAAGGACCACAGACACTTCAAGTGACACTGTTAGTGTCACTGTGGAAGCATCTCCTGAATCAGAGGAACTACATGGAATCCCATGAGACCTGGGGGTTATTGGCTTTAACTTGAGAACAACAGGACAAATGAACCTATGGCCAAGTGAAATCCAATCTTATTGTGTGTGTCAAAATTGGGTAAACAAAGTCAGTTAAGGCATGCTTTCCACGTTAAAAGGTATCCTAGGCTTTTTTTTTCCTCTAAATTTACATTTTCTGAATTTTGATTTGTAGATTACTTTACTATTACTATGATAGAACACAATGAGTAGAAGTAAGCTAAGGGAAAGAGAGTTTATTTTGGCTTATGGATTCAGAGAGATGAGAGTCCACAATAGCCAAGCAGAGGCATGGCTACTGGAACAGGAAGTTGAGAGCTCACATCTTGAATGACAAGCTCAAAGCAGAGAGAGTAAACTACTAGCAGGGCAATGCTGTCATCTCTCAAAGTCCAACTCAAATTCTTCCAGCAAAGGATCTTCTACAACTTCACACAGAGCACCACCACCTGGAAACCAAGTGTTCAAATGCCTGGGACTTTGGGGGTGGGGGGGGTTGGGGGGTACATTTCTCACTCAAATCCCTACAATCAGTATCTCCCAATTCGTCTATTGTTAAAACAATAAAAGATATGGGTGATAATCTTATTAAAAGACAAGCTTTCGAGTCCTTGCTCCATGTTTGGCAGACAGGTTTTCTGGTCAAGAAGCCAGGTCTCTGTCGTTGAGACCACATTTCCAAGTTGTCTTCACCATGGAGTATCGACTGGATTGGGATGGTAACAACTGTATTTTGGAGAAACGGTGCTTTATGAAACCAAAGGGACTGTGACATATGGGAAATGGATGTCTGCTTTGAATTATGCCCAAGCAGAATTCTGGGAAAACATAAAGGACAATTAAAAGGATATTAAAGCAGAAGCAGGGGTTTCAATGCATAGGGTGAGTAGATATTAATGCATCTTTATTTCCTTTTAGAGAACATTTACTTGGACTTTTTAAGTTAGCAACTAAAACTCCAACCTACTCAAGTTTCTCTAGCAATGGACAGTAAATGGGGAGAGGGTGATAAAATATTTAAAAATCCAGGTTCAGAAAATCGTGTTATTATTATCATATGCTCAAACAGAATGGAGGCTTACTTCTCTCTGTAAAGGTTCACTTCAGCTGAGAGACCAGCAGCTGAGGGCATAAAGACTTGGAGTCTGCCATGGAATCACCTGCACAGGCAAATTACCCCAGGAAATATTAACAGCAAACTACAAATTCACTTCAAAGATTCCTAAGTATTGGTGGCCCGCCATTTTGAGTAATTTAAATCAATACACAGTGACATCACTGCCTACTCTGATGTGGAGTTCCTCAAAGATCACTTGTACTTTGAGTGAGTTACTCTAACTAACCACGGGCACTCCAGTGAGGAGCATCCTAAGTCTTCAGCTGTTGCTCACGGTTCTCTAAGCTGGCAAGTCATGTACTACTCCTCAAAGATCTCACCATGCCAGCCCTCTCCCGTTTAAAGACTTTGATTGTGTTCCTCTGCCTTTACCCTATTAACACATAGACATTTTCAGGGAATTTAGCAAGCAAATGCCATCTTCTCCAGAGACATCATCTTAATCCTCCCAACCATACCTAACTGCAATGGATATCATCCCTCCAGAACAGTCAGGAAATTCTCTTAGAAGAATGTTAGCAAAAGAGAGGTTTTAATTTAGAAAAAAAATCCATCCACACAAATGTGCAGATACCATCTCCTCTTTATTCCTCAGGAAGACAGACAAATGAAGGAAATTAAAGTTATTATGGCTTCTAGCTCTACCCTCAAGAAACAGGGGTTCTTACACATATTGACATCCACAGTAATAAATCTATTCAGAGAGGAGCAGCAAAGGCTAAACTAAAGCCAGATGGGAGATGGTGGGGCTGTAAATAACTACAGACTCCTCTGGGCCCAGCCCTTACTTTGTCTCCTTTAAGGTGTCTGCACTACACTCCCTGGGCTCCCACATCAGCTCCTTTTCTAAATAAGTAGGTCAGGCATCTGTCACGTTCTTTGTTTCCATGCACCTCCAGCCAATTTTCTAAGTAGAAACTGGTAAGGGAGAAAAGTAAATGAATTGCTGGATTATTTTTTCTGGCAGGTAACTACTGCGTGACTTTTCATTCTGATATCAGTTCTACCTCCCAGTTGGGGGTAAACACTGAGAGAAGGCAAATCTCACTCATTTGAAGCAGTTCTTCCTTCCTCCAAAAATGTTTAATGGCATTGGGGATTTGTGGTTTACCCACGTAGTCTTTTAGAATGACTAACTATAAGAGAAGGAAGCAAACTAGCCTATATATTTTTTAGCTTATATGAGGGGGTCTTTTATTTTATTAGTCAGCATTCAATAAAGTATCTGCATATGAGAATGAAGACAGTTGAAATGAAAATGGACACATTTGTTTACATTCTAACTTCTCAAACCACACAGCCAACTAGGAGACCTCAGAGATCCAAAAGGCATGAATCGATGCAAGCTAAATCCATGGCTCTTTGACCTGTAAATACAGGCATCCAGAGATGACCTTAGGGCTGGGAGAATGGTATTCTAGCCCCAACCATCCATCATCTCCCTTTGGATGACTCAGTCTACTGTGGCTTAGACTCACATAATTTGAGTTGTAGGCTACATTCTTCCTCTCCAGGACCTTAGACAGCACAAATAACTCCTGAGCTGAATCATTTTACTCTGCTGCCAAAAGGGTATTCTGTAGCACAGAGAAGTGATTCAGAGTAAATAAAAATAATTAAATATATGAAAGGTTTGGAGCCTGTGAAATAAAGCTGTTTTCTGGGCTCCCTAAGTAGGCCAGTTTGATTCTTTCACTATTTGTTTTAGTTTCCTTTAGGTTGCTGCGAAAAAACACTGTGACCAAAAGCAACCAAGGGGAGGAACAGGATTATTTGGCTTATACTTCTGGGTCATAGTCCATTTTTGAGAGAAATCAGGGCAGTAACTCAAGCAGTTCTTGAAGCAGAAACCAGGGAGCAATGTTGCGTGTTGGCTCACCCATAAGCTAAAGCTTAGCTAGCTTTCTTATATAGCTAAGAATCAACTGTATAGAAAATGGTGCTCTCTACAATGTGCTAAGCACTCCTGTATCAATTAACAAAAGACAACCCTCCCACAATGTGATCTGGGCAGTTCCTCAGTTTAGACTCCCTTCTCAGGTGACTCTAAAGTTGACAGTTAAAGCTGACTAGGGCACCGTCCTTTTGGTATGAATTATTAAGGCATAGTAGGAGAAAGAGATACATTATTAGTTATTATCAGAAGAGAGAGACAGAGACAGAAACAGAGACAGACAGAGACAGAGACTGAGAGCCAGAGAGAGAGCACAATTGTAACAGGTCTTCATTTCCATCCTAGTGTGAGCTACAATAAGTATGTGAGCTATGTTTCATTCATTATGTCCTAAGAACATAAACTCAACACACAAAACTGAGTAGCTAACTGGTCTACCAGATGTCTGCTGGAGATGCCTTGACTCTTTGGTATTGATACCCTATGACCTCATCATAACTACTGCCCTTGCAGTGTTCTCTTACTATATTTCACTTGGTCACCATTGTAACTTGGTGAAGTGAAAAGTATGATTCAAAATGCTTACTTTACACATAATAAGTCTGAACCTTAGACATTTAAAGATTTTGTGAAGCCACACTGTTAATACCAGCAGAATTAACGGAGGCCAAACATGGAGGGCACAGAGTATGAGAGGATGGGCCCTGAGGCTGGAGGGTGCTCTCTCTCTCTCTTTCCCCCTCTCTCTCTCTCTCTCTCTCTCTCTCTCTCTCTCTCTCTCTCTCTCCATGTCACTCTGTCTCTGTCTCTCCCTCTCTTCCTGTCTTTTGTTTTTCTTTATTTTTAGGCAGTTTCTTGCTATGTAGCTCAAGCTGTCCTCAAACTGGCAGTCCCAGTTTTCTACTTCACAAGTGCTGGGATTACCCACTCCTTTCTCAGCCCTGGAGCTCATTTTCTTATATCAGATTCTACAGAGTGATGTTAACAAATTCAATATTTACAGAATCTTCCCAGGGCTGCTTATAAAGAGAGAGCTCCTGAATGATGCCTGGGTGATAGCTACATATTGAAGATCCATGGTGGATGTGGGTGTAAGTATACAATTGTTA